TAAGACACAGGAGTGAGTTCAATTCCAGACCTGAAGCGTAGCTACAAGCCATAGTCTGAGGAGTCTCACCAGGCTCTATCAGACCAGCAAACCTGGTCTTTTTTTTTTTTTAAATGATTTTCAGTTTGATTCCACATTGTTATCCCATTCTATCCAGGATTTTCTACACCAATCCCCCTCGGAATGGTTGACAGTGGTAACCAGGTACCATCTAGTTCTGGTTTCATAATCATATATAGGCTGAGGATCACATGATCTACCAGTCCCTTGGACTAATTGTTTCCATGCGTCTTTGGTTTGCTTTATTCTTCTTCTTTGCTCTGGGTGAGGAGAGACCCATCATTGCATCTAGATAACCTCTTGCAAACTTTTAAGATCCCAGTCGCTACTCACCAAAGTAGAATGTGGAATAATATTTTTGCATCGTATGTTATGCCGATTGAGCTTGATGTCCTCTGTGACCATGGTCCCAAGGCCGCAAGTCCAACTTCTCACTCCCTCTGGGTAGCTGCCTGTGGCCAAGAAGTCACCACAGTCTTGTCCTCTATGAGTTTTACTATGCACCTGGACATTCTTATAGTCAAAATAACTTTCTGATGACTTATAGTTTCTAACAGCTTGTAGGTTGCTAATAAGTTACAAGTTTTCAGATTAGTGTGCAACACAGAGGTGGTGTATTTATATATTTCTATTTGTAACTTCATTTTATGAATGGGTTGTTAGTTTGAAAGTGTAACAGTGTTGAAGGCATTATGAAAGCCTATGTGATTTTGAGAACATTATATAGGCATGTATAACAACTTTGAAAGTTTAGAAACATGAAACTATGCTCTTCTTAACCTGATTGTCTCTTGAAAATAAGCTATGGTAGGACGCCTTCAGAAGCAATTAAACAAGGTCATTATTTTGGACACCATGTCTCTCTAAGAGCCCTATTATTAAAAGACCCTCTGATTTATTTATTTACTTATTTGCTCCTGGGCTGCTGTTGTTGTTAGGTGCCGTCGGGCCATCTTCGACTCATAGCAACCATAGGTACAATAGAATGAACACTGCCCAGTCCTGTGCCAGCCTCATGATCTGTGCTATACCTGAGCCCATTGTTGCAGCCACTGTGTCAATCCATCTCATTGAGGGCCTTCCCCTTTTTCATTGACCCTTCACTTTACCAAGCATGATATCCTTCTCCAGGGAATGGTACCTTCTGACAACATGACCAAAGTAGGTGAAACGATGTCTGACTGTTATTGCTGCCAAGGAGCATTCCGGCTGCACTGCTTTCAGGACAGATTTGTTAGTTCTTTTGGCAGTCCATGGTACTTTCAGTATTCTTTGCCAGCACCACAACTGAAAAGTATCAGCTCTTCTTCAGTCTTCCTTATTCGTTGTCCAGCTCCACATGCATATGAGGGGATTGAAAATACCATGGCTTGGGTAAGGCACACCTTATCTTCAAGGAGACATCTTTGGTTTTTATCACTTGAAAAAGGTCTTTTTGCAGCAGATTTGCCCAATGCAGTACATCGTCTACTGTGTTGACTGCTCCTTCCATTGGTGTTGATTGTAGAACCAAGTAATATGAAATCTTTGACAACTTCAATCTTTCCTCTGTTTATTGTGATGCTGCTTATTGGTCTAGTTGTGAGGATTTTTGTTTTCTTTATATTGAGGTATAATCTATACTGCAGACTGTAGTCTTTGGTCTTCATCATTAAGTGCTTCAAGTCATCCTCACTTTCAGCGAGCAAAATCGTGTTGTCTGCATATTGCAGATTGTTAATGAGTCTTCCTCCAATCCTGATGCCATGTTCTTCTTCATATAATCCAGTTTCTCAGATTATTTGCTCAGCATACAGATTGAGTAAGTATGGTGAAAGGCTACAACCCTGAAACATTCCCATGCTGATTTTAAGCCATGCAGTATCCCCTTGTTCTCTTATCCCCTTGTTCTGTTCTAATGACAGCTTCCTGGTCTATGTACAGATTCCTCATGAGCACAATTAAATGTTCAAGAATTCCCATTCTTCTCAATATTATCCATAGTTTGTTATGATCCACACAACTGAATGCTTTTGCATAGTCAATAAAACACAAGTAAACATTTTTCTGGTATTCTTTGCTGTCAGCCAAGATCCATCTGACATCAGCAGTGATATCTCTCCTTCAAATCCGGCTCTGAATCCAGCTTGCTTTTCTAGAAGTTCTCTTCAGAATCCTCTTCTGGATCCAGCTTGCATTTCTGGAAATTCTCTGTCAACATATTGCTGCAGCTATTTTTGAATTATCTTCAGTAAGATTTTACTTAAGTGTGATATTGATGATATTGTTCGATAATTTCCACATTCTGTTGGATCGCCTTTCTTGGAATGAGTATAGATATGGATCTCTTCCAGTCAGTTGGCCAGGTAGCTGTCTTCCAGATCTCTTGGCATAGCCATGTGAGTGCCTCCAGCATGGCATCCATTTGTTAAAACATCTCAATGGGTATCCAGTCAATTCCTGGAGTGTTTTTTTTTTTTTTTTTACCAATTCCTTCAGTGTAGCTTTGACTTCTTCCTTCAATATCATTAGTTCTTGATCTTATGCCACCTCATGAAATGGATGAACATTTTGGTTCAGTGACTGTATATTCCTTCCTTGTGATGTTTCCTGCATCATTCAATATATTGCCCATAAAATCTGTCAGTAATGCAAGTTGAGGCTTAATTTTTTTCTTCAGTTCTTTCAGCTTGAAAAATGCTGAGCATGTTCTTCCCTTTTGGTTTTCTAATCCCAGGTTGTTGTACATTTCATTATAATAATTGACTTTGTCTTCTTGAGCTGGTCTTTAAAATCTTCTGTTCAGCCCTTTTATCTTGTCATTTTTTCCATTTGCTTTAGCTACTCTCTGTTCAAGGGCAAGTTTCAGAGTCTCTTCTGACATCCATTTTGACATCCATCCATTTATTCCTTTCCTATCTTTTTTAATAACCTTTGCTTTCTTCGTGGATGATGTTCTTGATATCATCCCATAATTCCTCTGGTTTTGGTCACTGGTGTTCAGTGCATCAAATCTATTCCTTAGATGGTCTCTTAAATTCAGGAGGGATATAATCAAGGTCATATTTTGGCCCTAAAGGACTTCTTTTAACTGTCTTCAACTTCACCTTGAACTTGCATATGAGCAGTTGATGGTCTTTTCCACAATCATCTCCTAAAGCCTTGTTTGGATGAGGATATTGAGCTTCTCCATCACCTCTTGCCACAGATGTAGTCAGTCTGATTCCTGTGTACTCCATCTGGTGAAGTCTATGTATATAGTTGCTGTCTGTGTTGTTGAAAAAAGGTATTTACAATGAGTAAGTCATTGGTCTTACAAAATTCTGTCTTGTGATCTCTAGTGTTATTTGTATCACTAAGGCCATATTTTCCAACTACTGGTGATTCTTCTTTGTTTCCAACTTTTGCATTCCAGTCACCAGTGATAATCAACACATCTCGATTGCATGTTTGGTCAATTTCAAAGTGCAGAAGTTGGTAAAAATCTTCAATTTCCTCATCTTTGGCTTTGGTGGTTGGTGTGTAAATTTGAATAATAGTAGTGTTAACTGGTCTTTCTTGTAGGTGTATGGATATTATCCTATCACTGACAGCATTGTGCTTCAGGATGGATCTTGAAACATTCTTTGTGATGATGAATGCCATGCTATTCCTCTTCTATTTTTCATTCCTGGCATAATAGATCATATGGTCCAAAACCAATCCATTTCAGCTCACTAATACCTAGGATATTATGTATTCCATTTCATTTTTGACAAATTCGAATTTTCCTAGATTCATACTTCGTACATTCCATGTTCCAGTTATTAATGGATATTTGCAGCTGTTTTTTCTCACTTTGAGTCATGCCACATTGGCAAATGGGGGTCCTGAAAACTTTACCCTGTCCACATCATTAAGGTCGGCTCTACTCTGAGGAGACAGTTCTTCTTCAATCATAAATCTTGAGTGCCCTCCAACCTGAGGGGCTCATCTTCTGGCACTTTATTGGACAGTGTTTCAGGGATATTCATAAAGTTTTCCAGTAATATATCAGACAGTGTTTCACTGCTATTCATAAAGTTTTCATTGCCTAATTCTCTGAGTAGTGGATGGCCTCTTCCTTCTCCCAAGTCTGTCTTAGTCTAGAAGCTCTGCTGAAACCTGTTCACCCTGGGTAACCCTGCTGGCATTTGAAACACTGGTGGCATAGCCTCCAGACTCACAGCAACATGCAAGCCACCACAGTATAACAAACTGACAGACAAGTTTGTTTCCATTAGCTGTTCCAAAGCACTGCACTCACTTCCTGGTCTCTCTGAGCTGTTCCAAACCACTTAGCTCACTTTGTGGTCTCCCTTAACTGTTCCAAACTACCACTGGCTCCCTTCCTGGTCTCCCTTAACTGTTCCAAACTCCCGCCGGCTTGCTTCCTGGTCTCCCTTAGCTCCTGGGCTAGTGCTTGGAAAATCCAGGAGTTGTATGAATCACTTTAGTCCTGGATTTCCAGCCCATTTAAATAATAACAGATTTAACAAGTTATTACTAGAGATAGGAGAGAGTATGGTGCTAGTGTGGTAGTTGTCAGGAGGACTTAGCCTTAAAGAAAGGGAGAAAGCAGGAAGTGCAGAAATAACAAAATGGATTTCAGTATTTAACATTTAAATATCAGAGACGAATAATAGTTAAGCACTAAGATAGTGTTATAGTTGAAGAACACTAAAAAAAAAAAAAGCACATCAATGGGGAAGGAAGTACGTGAATTAGTGCCAGAGATAACCACATGTTCTGGGGGGTAAGAAACAATAGCAAAGAGCAGGGATATGAAAACAGCTTTCTGCTTTTGTAACTTCAGGCTCTGCTGACTAGGATGGGCATGCTCCTGTTGTCTGCTTTACTGGGGTGGGAGATGATGATAATGCAGTTTGCTCTGTACTTGGGTTTTGAAATTTGGGAATTTTTTGCATTTCCTTTGTGACAAGAGTGACAAAATCATCAGATCTGGAGGAAGGAGAACTGAGATGGAATGTGGATGAAGGAGATTGGAGTCCAGAGAGCAGTTACAAGGCAGTTAACAGTAAGTGGTTCAGTGGAAAGATGGAAGGTCCCAACTAAGGCAGTGGCAGTGGAGGCAGAATGGATAGGATTGGGTGACTCACTGAAAGCGGGAAAAGGAAGAGGTGAGATCAAGCCTGAAGTTTCTGTGCTGGGCAGCTGGGCAGAATATGGAGCCTTGTACTTCACTGACTACCCAAGGATATAGTCAGGGAAGGGGGATCCTGGGGGCAGATTTATGTTTAAACCAAACCAGAAATTGCTTGAATGCTTAGGTTTTACGCAATCTTGAATATATTTAATATTAATATTATTTTAAATAGATGTCCATGAAATTCTTATTCTTGAGTCTTTATAGGGAACAAAGGTGAATTATATATGCATTCAACAATATTTATTTAATATCTACCATGTTGTGGGCTCTAGGTTAGATACTTGTGACACAGATGGTTCAGAGAAATATTCTGCTTTCAAGGACTTTATTCGTGAACAGTGGGAATATAAGCTAGTACATATATGTGCTATAAGAGAGAGACCTGAGCAAGGCTTTGATTATTCAGGGTTAGAAGAGACATAGATGTAGAAAATCAAGGGGCATGAAAGGAGAAAATGCTAGTTGTGCAGTAGAGGTTATTAAGAGCTTTGGCTTTGAAGTCAAAAAGGCATAATCTTGCCTCTGTCATTTATTAGCACTGTAATACTGGTCAAGTTAGTTAACTTTTCTGATTCTCAGTTTTCTTATCTCTAAAATGAGGATAATAGTTCCTGCCTTAAATGGTTGCTGTGAGAATTAAAGCATATGCTGTCAGGTACAGAGTAAGTGCTCAATAAATGTTGGCACATTGAGCACAGAGTGCTTGAAGGAAAAGGGCAATCAGCCTAGTACCTAACACATAGTGCACATGCATCAAATACTTATTAAATGAACAAAACATAAGTTTTGGACCAAATTGTAGAATGCCTTAGAGACTATTGTTTTCTAGCCACCAAATATTTTTGAATGGTGGAGTACAGTTATCAGAGATAGGTGCACTTCTGGAAGATAAACTTGTCAGCTGTTTGTAAAATGGACTAGAATGCAGAGGTCCTTGGGTGGGCAAATCAGGAGAGTCTTCTAACATTTCAAATAAGACTAATCAAGCTGGCTCCCCTTCCTCACAGAACTTGGGGATATAGTCATAATTTTTTATTAATAAAGGATGGTCAGTGCTATGAAAGAAGTACTGACAAATGCTTTGAAAATAGTGAATAATTTGGGGATGCGAGCATCAGGGAAAGCTTCCTGAAAGAAGCATTCATCTTCTTTTAGGGGCATTTGTTTGTGTATGTGTTCATTTGGAGGGATTCTGTATGCTGTGGGGTCAGATTGGCTGTAATCTTTACAAAAACTTCTCTCCAGGCCTTGTTCTTCTGTTGTACCACTGGGTGGGTTCAAACTGGCAACCTTCGGGTTAGTGACCTAGCACAGACTGCTTGCGCCATCCATGGCCCTTTCATCTTTGAAAAGAATGAGATGTACACATGGAGCCTAGATAGAAGGAAGGAACTGAAAGTGGAAAAATATTTGAATAAAGGTCTGTGTGTGGATTAGTGAGGGATAGTGACTAAGAAAGAACTAGAAATATAGTTTGACTTGATCACTAGAGGGAGTTTAAAACAGGTTGGCATGAAATCCACAACATACCCTGAAGCTAGCCTCAGTTAAATACATATAATAAACGGAAGAAATAATTTTATCTTTTATATATTCTTGACATATTTTAAGTCCCTAAGTAATTACAATTAATTATGTAATTAATTACATTATGTACCATAAGTAATTATGGTGTAGAGGTTAAAGCATTTGGCTGCTAACCAAAAGGTCCATGGTTTGACTCCATCAGCCACTCTGCAGAAGAAAGATAAGGCAGTCTGCTTCTGTAAAGATTTACAATCTTGGAAACCCTATGGGGGTCACTGTGAGTTAGAATTGACCCTATGACAGGAGCTTTTGTTTTGTTTTTTTAAGTAATTACAGATAAACATGAATGACACCTATCCTCAAAGATTATATATCTAGGTTAGTTAAGACTCACAAACATTTGGCAATGATGCAAGTATAGTGTTTCAAAAGCTGTAGATACTTAGCGGGAATGATGAATGAAGTTTCCCAAACTTGAGTTATTTTCCTATGTCATAGCTGCATGTCCTGTCATTTACCTATTTATTTAAATTGATGCATTTTTCTTCTTAACTAAATTTCTTTTTAGAACAGTTTTTATCATTGCCTCAATGGAAAACCTATGCCATTTTCCATAAATAGAAGTGAATTTAAAACAAACCTAATGAAGGCAAAACAATATTATTAAATTCTAGCTAGTTTTTCTACTGAAGGTTGTCATTGATCAAAATATATACCAGCACTAGCTCCAAACTAAGACTACCTCCTTATGTAATCTGAAAATTGAAAAAGAATTGGAAAGGGAGTTAGTTTCTCACCATGTGGGTTAATTATATTCTTTTGTGTTATGTCTGTATTCTACTCATAATCAGTAGTGTGCATCTCACAAATTTGGAAATGCCATTTTAAAGCATACTCTAATTAGCAAATGGAATACCTGTTGTGTATCTACTATCTATAGTATTAGGTAGTGGATCTTCAGTGAAAAAATAAGCAAACTCCTCAAGTAAACAACATGATAAATCCTATGATAACTATTAGCGTAGGGTGCTTTGTGAGATCAGAGAAGGCACCCTGGAAGGTTAAACATTGAATGAATGGGAGGAAGCCAGGTATAGTGTGGTGGCAGGACACGAATGAGGTGGGGAAGGCATAGGGTAGGGAGAATGTCCCAGACAAAAAGAAAACAAATATAAAGACTTTCAGGGAACACACTGTTCAATGATTTTGTCTTTGTGCTACAAGCCTTTCGGTTTTCTTCTGACAATTAAACATTTGTGAAGTCACCATGGTGTAGTGAGTAGAGTTTAGGAAACTTAACTCACTTTGGCAAACCTCATTAGTACCTACTTTGTGTTTGGCGGTGTGAATACAAAGATGACTAAAAAACACATGACTTTTGCCCTCCTGGAGGTCACAGTGTAGTGGAGGCAATGGATTACAAACAGGTGATATAAAAGTATCCTACATGCTATGAATAAGATATTACCAAAATTAGTGCTGTGGGTATTTTGTGTAGTTGTAAGCATAATAGGTGTCTGAAGTTAGGGCAGGAATGGAGACTGGAGAGAGAAGCTAGGGCAAGATGTGTTTTCTGGTGTCTGTTGTTACTCTGCCAAGTAGCAGAACCCTCATTTTGAGAGTCTCTTTTCAAATCAGAAAAGGAAGGAAACTTAACTGGATGATTTCTTAGACAATACCAAGGTTGTTTCTTTTCTTTTTCTTTTTTTAATTGAATTGAGATTTACTCAGAAGTCATTAATTAGTATGCTTTTTTTTTTTTTTTTTTTAATTGTGATTTGGGTGAAAATTTACAGAGCAAATTCACTTTCCATATAGCAGTTCACATACACCTTGTCTCATGACATTGACCACAATTTATACCAAGGTTGTTTCTAAGCACTCTTGTACTAAACTGAAAAGTGGATGCTTTGAACCCATCCAGAGACATTCTCAGAAGGAAGGCTTGGCAGTGTGCTTCTGAGAGATCACAGCCAGGAAAACCCTAGGGGAACACAGTTCCGCTTTGTACGCACGGGGTTGTTATGGTCAGAATTGACTTGATGGTAACAGGTTTTTCAAAAGTTGTTTAACTTTAGCTTTCTTGGTTGTTTTTAGCATGTTTTTAGCTAATTGGTAACCTTGCATTATTTACTGATCAGAAATATACCAACAAGTGTAAAAGCCCTCATGAACGGCTCCAGAGACATCTCCTTTCTTGGATTAGTGAGTCTATTAAAATACATGCTGACCTTGGTATTTTACTTTCTTTGTTTAAAACTCAGGTTTAACCCAGAAGAATCTAGATAAAAAATACGATTTTCCCATACCTTTGAATGAAGCTTCCAAAATAATGAAGAAGAAAAAGAAAGAGGTATATTATTGTAAAGAAGAATGAACAATATTTGAATTTTAGATCATCTTCTCTAAATATATATGTGTGAAGATACCCATGACAGTGAAAATAGCTCCATCTTTTGAATAATTTAATTTATTGAAATGAGAAAATAGAAATAATTTAGCAGAAATAGAACTTGGTTTGGAAATATTTATGACCTTGAAGAATAGTGCTTCCAGTGTTGGAAGGTATAAGACACATTTTAATCAAAATGTAATTCATTGGAAGATTTTTTAAAGCATGATATATGTTACATAGAACTTAACACACTGTGATAGTTAATGTAGGTATAACAAGAAAACCATGGATTTCACAGAAAAGAGTAATATATTCATATTGGTGTCATACTGTTCTTTTCAAGGTCAAGGGATGCATATTAAGTTTCTAGCAAGAAAACTGACAAAGATGTTTACTGCTGAACTGTTTTCACTACTGGTGGTCCAAATGTCATTGTAACTTGAGCGTTTTAAAAATATTTGTGATCAGTTCCTTTACTTATCTTTGATTGCCACTATATATTTTTGTACTTGAATGTAAAGAAATTGTTAAGTGACAATGACACATAAACTGGTATTGTCTTTAAGCTTTGAGGTTGTTTGATTTAAAGTTCATGTGTACTATATGTAGCATATAAGGAACTCTGGTGGCATAGTGGGTAAGGCATTTGACTGCTAATCAGAAGGTCAGTGGTTCAAACCCAACAGCTGTTCTGTGGGAGGAAGATGAGTCAATCCACTTCTGTAAAGGTTTACAGCCTTGGAAATCCAGTGGGGGTCGCTATGAGTTGGAATCGACTCTATGGCAGTGGGTTTGGTTTTTCTGGTTTATATTTCATGTTGTTGTTTTTGTTATGTGCTGTTGAGCAGGACTCGACTCATAGTGACCCCTTCTTGGGTTTCCGAGGTGGTATCACTACAGAAGTAGATTGCCCAACCTTCCTTCCAAGGAGTGGCTGGTGGGTTTGAACCGCCAGCCTTCTGGTTAGCCGTCAAGTGCCTTAGGCAGTATGCTACCAGAGCTCCTGTATGTTCCATATATAGTATAAAATAGCATCAAGGTGACTTACCTTGCAGCCACATGTATTTGAGTCTCTCACTGCTGTGGATTGATTGTGACTCATAGCAACCCCTCCTTGGGTTTCCGAGGCAGAAACCTCTATGGAAGTAGATTACCCAGTATTTCTTCTGAGGAGTGGCTGGTGAGTTTGAACTGCCAGCTTTCTGGTTAGCAGTCACATGCCTTAGGCACTATGCCACTGGAATCTTTCCACTGTACTAAGAAAGATTTCTTCCAAAAACCAATTACTCTTGAGTGAGGAAAAAGGGCAATAGCCAATATTTATTTTAAAACTACTGTGTGCTAGACACTGGGCTAAGTGCTTCCCATATTTTAAAAATTAATTCTAATAATGCACTGTATTATGTTACCCCTAGAGGAGATGTAAAAAGTTGTCCAAGGTCAAATAGCTGGCAAGTGGCAAAGGCAGAATTTGAACCCACATCAATCAATTTGACCCCAATTTGACCTCTTCATTCTTTTCATTCTATAGAGTCCCACCCAGGAACATTAGTATATTGCTGCTCTCTAGTAACTTTGCTTTGGTATATCCTAGGATTCATATTTAATTCTTATTAGAATAATATATATTTAAAAAATCAAATTATTGAGGGGTCGCTATGAGTCGGGTTTGACTCGATGGCACATAACAACAACAACAACATGGTATAGACATTGGATTATAAATTCATTCTTTTTATTATTTTTCAGAACAAAATTGAATGTGTTGGATCTATTTACGTAGGACAGTATAGATATTGTCTTTAAAAGGAAATTTCATCTAAGACAATTAATTTAAATACTACAGGGAGGAAATGCTAGGAAAATTGGAAAAAGAGATCAGAGAATTCACTTACCATGAGGAAACAATTCCATTTAGGTTTTAGTTTTTTGAGTGCTAATACTGCTTTATAATGATTACATCCATCGGTATGCAACACAGTTGAGTCACCTTTGATTGCTGCCATCAAAATGTATTCCTACCTTTCTCCATAGTGTTTCTTAAACTATACTTATCTTTTTAAGGTTTCAGTGTGGAATGGAGTATACAAAGTCATTTCTAGAATGCTTGAAGAAAATGAAAAATATAGACTCAGACTGAATTCCCAGCGATTATCTGGTGAACGTAAGTTAACACAATGTTTTATTGTATTAAAAAAGATTAGTTTCTAGAACAGTTTAGTCGTTCTTGCATCACATTAGATTGGTAGTTTTTCTGATTGTCACATTTACTGTACAAAGCTATAGATATGAGACTATCTTGTTAGTACTCATCATAATTAAAAGTACAAATCATTTTAAAGCAGAGAGTGTAGAGTAGATGGCAGGTGTAGGTGTGAATGGCAGAGTGCAGAAGCTGCATGTTGCCTGGGACATACTAGGCAAAGGGAGCATATTTATCTGTTAATTGTGAATTTTAATGTCAACTTTTAAATACAGTTTACAAAATTCATCCATATTGATGAGGAGAAATATTTTAGCTGCAATATAAAATTATAAATTCTGTATCACTTCAGATAGTTGCTTCCTTTCCATGCATTCTGCAGTCCAATTAATTAACACAATTTGCCCTTGAGTTATGGCCTTGATGCCCTTATTTCATTCCTGGAAAACAACTTATGAATTATATAAACCATGTTCTAAAACTGCTTCAATATAGAGTTGATGTTGTGGCTAGAGCAAAATTAAATGCAATCTAGTATGTTTATTAAAATCATTGGAAGTTCTGGATTTGGAAACAACTCTGGTGGCTTAGTGCTTGAGGCATTTGACTGCTAATCAGAAGGTTGGCAGTTCAAACCCACCAGCCACTCCTGAGAAGGATGATTGGGCAATCTACTTCCATAAAGATTCAACCACCTTGGAAACCCAAACGGGGTCACTAAGAGTTGGAATCAACTCAATAGCAGTGAGTTTGTTTTTAATAATACCACATAAATTGGTAAATCAAAATGGTTATTTTCTTTCTTCACAGTCATATATTAATGCACATGATACCATGAGGAGCAAGTGCTTGTATGAGTTCTTAGAAAACAACTTCTTTGTGGTAGTCAGTCAATCTATATTATATTATTTTTGTGAAGAATTTTCTCATAATAATTAAAACAATGCCATTTTGTAAGCACCATGACACTGGAAACTCATTACTGATCATGTAATATTGCACCAGTAATAGTGTAACTTGTTTGCAATAATGGCATATAAACCAAGTTTAGATTACTGATGCTGTTTCATTTTCTTATCCAATTTTATGTGTGAGTGAGAGGAAGTTTCATTTTTAAGAAGGCAAATGAGGCAGGAGGGGGGATTAGGAGAAGGAAAAGCAGTCCAGTGGTTTTGTAAATGGAAAGGATGTTTGAATAGGCAGAGTAATGTACAAAAAAAAAAAAGCCTCAACATTATTCTGAGTGTAATCCAAATGACTGCATTCCTTTGAATTTGTAAGGTTCTTCTGGGCCTCTGCAAAAGACCTTCTATTAAACATAAGGTGCTCTTGTAAATGTTACTTAATAACTTAAAATTAATATACTATGTTTTCCAGAAATGACATCTTGCAAACAAGAAGCAGCCTTATAATTCATTATTTTGTGATACAATTTTAAACCAGATTACAAAAACGTTTTTAAAAAGCTGGTAATTATATTCTAAAAACTATATTATAATGTGTAGTTCTTAATACATATTTATTAATACAGAAGACCAGTGCTAGAAGCCAACTTAAAATTTCCTTATGTATTTTTTTGTGTTGTTCCTAGACTGAAATTACACAAGATGAATCTCATCTTCTTCTGGTAAGAATCCATTTTGTTAACAGTTATAAAGTATACCTTCTTATGTCCTACTTTCTCCAACTCTAGTGGGTGCTGTAGTTGTTAGGTGCCATTAAGTTCGTAGTGGCCCCATGCACAGTAGAATGAAATGTTGCTGGGCCCTGCACCATCCTCACAATCGTTTCTATGTTTGAGTCCATTTTTGCAACCACTGTGTCAATCCATCTCGTTAAGTGTCTTCTTCTTTCATGGTGTGATGTGGTGAATTACTTGGTATGGCTTTTCTAACCAGTCTTTATGACTCCCAATAGATTACTGGGTGGGACCATGCAAATAAGGTGTATAGAACTCTAATGTGAGGATTGCTTAGTTTTGCCCTGCTACCGGGCTTAAAATGAGCCCTCTGAGAGACAGAAGAGGGAATCTCACCGCCATCAAAAGAGAAGAGCTGGAGGTGAAGTGGAGCGTGTCCTTGGACCCAAGATCCCTGCGCTGGACCTCCTTGGCAGATGACAGGCTGAGACGACTGGTGGAGATGACTGCAGAGGAACCAAGAAGCACAAGGCAGAGTGGTGGGCTTGTCAGCCTACGGGACAAGAAAGCTGAGTGTCTTTGGAGAGGAGGCTTGCTGGTGAAGTGGGGTCCCCGTAGGTATACTTATAGGCAGAGCTAGAAGAGTTTTGTAGCACTTGCTGGAGCAGGGCAGAGGCCAGCCAAGGGCCAGAGAGGCATGTCTGAGGGCACAGCAGAGAGGAGACTGTCCTGATTGGAGAACTGTATCTTGAGAGTGTTCTGGAATCTGAATTGCCTGTTATTTTCCTAATTAGCCCCATAATCATGAGTATTGTTTGTGAGTTCTGTGTGACCATCACAATGAATTATTGACCCAGCAGAGAGTAGTGAGTACCATGGGAGGGACAGCTGGTGTTAGAGTTGGCAAAAAGATTTGAGGGTGGTGGCATGTCTGGCCTCATAGGGATAAGACTTGGGCTGTTGATGGTGATTGTGTCCTCCTTGTATGGTCAGAGGACATCAGAAGATGCCACCTCCATGCCCTTTTTGCAAATGGATACCCATTGTTAATTCCTTGCTACAACCTGTTTTCTTCCTCAAGTCCAGTGTTTGGAACAAAGTTGTTTGTTGCTATCAGGTTGGCTCAGGCTCATGGTGACTTTATGCATCACAAAACTAAACATCATCTGGTCTTGTGCCATTTTCATGATTGTTGATATGATTGAGTCCATTGGTGTGGCTGTTGTGTCAGTCCATCTCATTGAGGCTTTCCCTTGTTTTTGCTCACTTCACCAAACATAATGTTACTTTCTAGCAAATGGTCATAATAAGTAGTCAATATATATGTACTGAAATGAAAATTGTGTTTGGGTCCAGTTTCCACCATGCTTTTGGAACTGCTCTCTCCATGGTCCCAGTTTTTTTCTCTCCATATCTCCACTTAGTTCTTTCTTTTTGAACATAGTGTCACATTTATTATTATTTTACTACTAATTCTTCAAATATTTTTTCTCTTCCTTAATGTCCTGTAGAGTACATCAAAGTTCTCTTTCTGCCTCTCCAATCATATTTTCTGTGCATTTTTTTTTATTAGGATTTGGGTGAAGATTTACAGAGTAAATTCACTTTTCATACAGCAGTTCACATATACTTTGTCTCATGTCATTGACCAAA